TCTCTCTCTCTCTCTCTCTCTCTCTCTCTCTCTCTCTCTCTCTCTCTGTCTCTGTCTGTCTCTCTCTCTCTTTCTTTTTCAGAACCAGGGATTGAACTCAGGCCCTTGTGCTTGCCAGGGAAGTGCTTATTCTACTGAGCCATCTCCCTGCGCCCCCACCCCAGTCTTTTCTAATGCAGCTTCCACACTTCTTAGTCTGCATAGAATCAAACAGTTAAGGCCTTGTTCTGGATTAATTTTGGTTTAAAGAGATGTTGTATATTTTTAGATATTCTAGTCAAACCTCTAAAACTTTATCCATATCAGGAGTTAAGACTGTTCTACTTTCTTGTCATTCATATATTCGTTCAAGCAGCACTTTTATTTTCTTCAAGAACTTTTCCCTTGTGTTCACAACTTGAGCATTTGCACTGGAGGTCTAGCTTTCAGCCTTTGGCATGCCTTCCTCAAATTAATCAGCTTTAGCTTTTTATTTAAAGTGAGAAAAAGAAATAAAGTGAGAGACATTCTTTTCCTTTTAACACTTAAGAGGCCATTAGTGGGTTACTAATTGGTTTAATTTTGATATTGTGTGTTTCAGGCAATAGAGGTACCCAAGGAGAGGGAGAGAGATGGAGTAATGGTGGTTGGTAGAACCTTCAGAACACACACACTTCTCAGTTAAGTTCGCTGATCCGAATGAGTGTGGAGTGTGGTGTCCCCATTTATATATAATAGAAACATTAAACATCATTCAATACAGATTACCATTACAGAAATAATCATAATAATAATGAAAAAATTTGAAATATTGCTAGTATTACCAGTATGAGACCCAGGGACATGAGAGGAGCACATAGAGTTGGAAAAGGCTATTGATATAGACCTGCTTCATTCAGGGTTGCTGATCTTCAGTTTGAAAAAAAAATGCAGTATTTCTGAAGTGCAATAATATGAAGTATAATCCACAGAATAGTTAGGATAGATATACAGCTACTTTCTCTTAGTTCAATGAGAAGAAAGATTTGTATTAATAGTGTTTAGGCAATATATTGTGTCTACATCTTGCAATCTGAATACTACAAAGACAACAATATGCAATGTATTAATTATTGTAACTGTCCTATTAACCTGTTTTGAAACTGTCTCATTGCTATTTCTTTCTCATTAAAATTAATAAAAAATAATATGAAGTACAATAAAAGTATACCTGTGTTAATTTTATTAGATTTACTTTTGTTCATTTGTTGGTTTTGTACTTGTAAGAGAACTTTAAGCATGAAGAGTTTATGTCTACTATTTGAGAATATTTTAATTTCATCAAAATTGAGATGATTTGTGAGCCCTCACAATTGATAAAAACAGTGTTTGCATCTAGGAACATTATTCTTTTACTTATGTTTGAGAAACATTGACCTAGCTTGATTGACATTTTACAGGTAAGGAAAGCAAGTCTCATGAATAACATGAGGACAGATAAGACTGTTTTGAAATTATTGTGCACTAATTAATAATTTTTCTTTCATTATATATAAATTCATTTTAAAAAGGATATATAAAGCTTATTTCTGCAGCCTGTTTTATTAGCTATCCATGAAGAAGCTAACAAAAATGTAGTATTTACTTTAAATTAGTTTAATAATTTATAATTTCAAATGCTTTATTCCCACTGTTTTTGTTTTGTTTGTGGTATGGGGGATCAAACCTAGATCCTCATATGTAGTAGGCAAGTTCTTTGCCATTGAGCCACATCCAGAGATTTCTATGGTTTTTAAAAAAATGATTAAAAATTTATAACAACTCTGAATTTGATTTTTCTATTTTATACATTAAGACTTGCTGATGGTAAGATAAACAGATTTACTCAAAGTCACATTTGCAAGCAAGTGACCGAAGTGGCACTTGGATACATTGTTTTTTGATTTTAATGTTCTAATAGGATACTAGAGATATATCTGAAGTTTTACACTATTTAAATGCTTTTTAAAACTGAGGCATTTATTCAAGTCCAGTGAATGTCCTGCCCTAGCATTGCATCTATTGTTTTCTTGCAAGCTACATTTCAGACACTTTATTATTCATGTTACATTTATTAATGAGATGAACATTGGATTCTTAAATTTTTGCATCCATAGTTTGTTTTTATAATCTAACGGTTTTGTGTAATCAGTATGCTGTTTAATTCTTTTAATAGGTCCTGACTGCTCTTTGAATGTTCCTTCTACTGAATCTTACTGGATTCTGCCAAATGTGAAGCCCTTCAGTCCTTCAGTAGGTCGGGCTTCACACAAAGCAGTTTTACATGGGAAATTTATGTGGGTGATTGGTGGATATACTTTTAACTACAGTTCTTTTCAAATGGTCCTGAAGTAAGTATTTATTTTCATATCTCCATGGCCTATATTTTTAAAACTTGGACTTTTTTGTTGTTCCAAAGTTGATATTTCTTATGGTAATATCTGTTTATTAAATGGGACTGATTTAGGATCTAAACACCTATTTAGGAATACCTAGCATTTTTCCATGATCAATTATTTGTCATTGTAAATATGTTTGTTTTGTGTAAAAATTTTATTAACTCTCAAGAGCCCTTTAATAAGTTCTGAGTGAGACAATATTAATTTTACATAAAATCCTCTATGTTTATACCTATGTTTAGTATAAGAAATTCTGCCACCTTTTACATCTTCAGAATGAAGTGTAATTGTATGTTAAAATCTTTTTAGTTTTTTCTACAAATTAGCTTTTAATTTACAGAACAGAATAAATATGTATATTGGATAATTAGGTAAGTGATATATTAGACAATATGTAGTACATATTCATACTTATATTTCTAAGATTATGTCAGTAAAAACTCTGAACCCCCAGATTAGAAGTAAATTTGTTGTTTTCTTATGTTAGAGAATTTTTTCATCATTCTGAATGTAATTCAATGTAAGTGAGAATATTTAAATTGATTTTAGAAATGATAATATCACTAAGCATGTTATTCTTTTATATTAAAATTCATTTTTGTGGGATCCATGCATACTAGTCATGCGCTTTTGCACTGAACTACATCTCCAGCCTTAGAGTAAAATTTAGTTGGGGTGTAGATGTTAAACTTTAACATACTAGTTCAGTAAATAATGTCAAAGTTTTTGGTATTACTATTGGTTAAATAAAAAAGTTATTCTGCAGAATGTATATGCATTAACATTAGTGAAAGGAGAATTATTTTGCAGAATAGGTATGACTGTTTTGAACAGTTACTTGGGATTTTTATGGGGTCCATGCATACTAGCCATGCACTCTTCCACTAAGCTACATCCCCAGTCCTGCAGTAGAATTTAGTTGAGGTGTAGAAGTTACACTTGCTTGGTACTTGGGATATATCAATGAATGGAACAAATTTCCTTGTCATTGTGAAGTTAGTGAAAAAAAACTGGCAATGAAAAAGTAAATATGCTTGCCAAAGTTAATTATTTGTATGGGCATATATACATAGGTAGGTAGGTAGGCAGGCAGGTAAATAGCAGGGGTGTATAAGTAAATAGGATTGTAAAGCAAGAGGGTCACAGTTATAAATGCAGTGGTCAAGGGAGGGCTTATAAGAAAGATAGAGACTGAGTAGAAACTTGAAGGAGGTCTGGGGATTGGCACTGTATTAACCTGTAGGTACAGAAAGGAGTCAGACCAGAGCCTTGAGGTCGGAGTGTTCTTTTGAATTATTATTCAAGTAGCACCAAGGAAGCCTATGTGTTTGTGTAGAGCATCTAAAAGGGAAGCATGAAATTGGAGTGATAATAGAAGAGAAAGACAGATCATACAGGGTGTTACATATCTATGGAGTCATGGAGGGTTGTGGATATGTTTTGACTGTTACTTCAAAAGTCACTGCAACAACTCTGTTGAGGTTATATGGGGTTTGGAGGGAATAGCAGAAACAGTGATTGAGTTAGAATGAGATTATCCCAGGAATGAATTTGAGCTTAGAGAAGACCAAGAATTGAGTCTGAAATAACACATCAGAAGAAGAAGAGAGAACTGAAAAGGAGGACTAATGGGATAGGAAAACCAAAAGCTTGCAGGTTTTCAAAGGCAAGGGAAGAGAGTGTATGGGGATTAAGGGATGACTAATGATACTGGTGATTAATTATGTCAAGGAAATGAAGACCAAAAAGTGGCCATGGATTTAGTATGAGGAACTTGAACTTAACGAAAGCAGGTTTATTATTGCGTTACAGTTAAAAGCCTGACTAGAACTAGCTTAAAATAATGCAGAGTTTAAGATACTAGTAAGATCCGTGTGGGTGGGGATTATAAAAAAATGGAGCAGTAAAGAAACAGGGTTGTAGCTTGAAGGGGGAGTGACAAAGTTTTTATTTTTAATATAAATGGGGAATATAATACCACATTTGCATGCCGATGATGGTAAGCTAGCAGGCCAAAAAGTGGTAATGTTGGATAGAGACGGGAGTGCTGGGGTGTGGTGGGATCTAGTGTACAAGATGTCAATAGGTTATGTATGGTGGCCATCAGCAAACTACAGAGTTGGGACTCAGGTTCTCAGAAATAAGATTTTTTTGTTAGCGATTTTTAATAGGTTGTAAAACAAACAAGAAGATGGTGAACCCAACATGGCTGGCAAAGCCTAAAATATTTCTTGTCTGGCCCTTTACAGAAATAGTTTACTGAGTCCTAATTTATGCTAACTTGGAAAGCAGTGTATTGGCTGCAGATACCTGGGAGGTAGGTAGATTTAGAGCTGTGAGTGTGTGAAAGTTACATTCAGACTTATTATACTTTGCCATTTATAGTATACATATTTGTCCTATAACTGTAAATAGAAAATAAATGATGCTGAGACCCATTTTGGTGACTATAGCATGCTTTGTGACAGGGCAGTTTCTTGCTTTTCTTTTTTTATATATTAATTTTATTGAGAAAAGTAGCAATGAGACAGTTTCAAAACAGGTTAGTAGGACAGTTACAATAATTAATATATTGCATATTGTTGTCTTTGTGGTAGTTATTCATAGTACAAGGTGCAGACATGATATCTTGTATAAACACTATTAGTTCAAAACTTCTCATTAAACTAAGAGAAAGTAGCTGTATAACTATGCTATTTTTTTTCACTACAAAATGGACCTTTATTTATATCCCCCTTTTTTGTTTACTTTTGTCAGAGATGGGTATTCCATTGCTGATGAGTTGGAGGAAGAAAGTAAAGTAGGATAACTGATAGTGAGCTTCTTAAAATAGTTCTCTGGTTATTTTAAAAATTAAAACCCTTTTCTCATTACTACGTGCTTGCAGTATATAATAATCACATTATACATATATATGTAAAACACATCTTAATTGTTTTAATGCCCTTCTCCTCCTATCCCTTTAAATTTTTCCTTTCTTATTTACAAAAGCTGTCTTTCCATTTTTATTCTTCAATTCTTTTTTAAAAATCTCTTTTCCCTTCCTTCCCTCCATCGTTCTCCATGTCTTTTTAATCTATTTGAACAAATTCTTCATGCTTCCTAATACCTACCTTCCATTTTGTTCTTTATTTATACTTTTGTGTTGGTACTCTTACTTCTTGCCTGGTATTTTCCTTTCATATGTTTTTATTTTTATTTTTTCCCCATAATTTTATTGACAAATAGCAATGAGACAGTTTCAAATCAAATTGGTAGGGCAGTTTCAATAATTAACACATTGCATACAATCTTCTTAGTGGTTAATTGCTGTACAAGATGCAGACATGATATCCTATTTACAAACACCATTAGAACAAATCACTCTATTCATTAAGAGAATGTAACTGTATATCTATCCTAACCACTTTGAATACACAGATACAAAATGGACATTGATCTGTATCCCTTTTTTTTGTTAAGTTCCATTATTTGAATATTACAGGTGTGTAAACTCAGCAAAATATTCTAAAAGAGTCCAGTAGTCCATAATAGTATTGGGTCTTCCGCTTGACTGGCAATGTCAGAAATTGTTGACCTGAGTCCCCTACAGCTCAACATAACAGCATGACTTTACTTCTTATATTTCATTTTTATACTTTCCTGCTGGATGGTTAAGACCAAGGTAAAGCAGGACTTATACAACAAGAGTTGTAGCTTTTGGGTCTGATAAGGTCAGTGAAATCCCCTCAGGATTTATCCTGAGATCCTGTACCTCATATTGTAGAACCTTTGTCAGTGTCAGCCATGTGGATGAGTCATGGCCATTGCTTGGCCAGTGTGCTCTCTGTGAAAGCCTGAGAGAATGTTTTCTCTCCATGTGACTCTTCTTAGGCACACTCTACATCACCGATCACTTTCCTCTTTGGCCCCATAATCTTCTTGATCAGAAAATTTGGGACACTACTGAGTTACATGACATTACAGTACAAGTTCCCATATGTCCTGAGTCTTAATTGACCTTGGAAGGCTAGGGCCAAAATGTTGGCTTTCCTTGCGGCCCTCCTTTTTCTCTAATTTTGGTCTGTAACCTTAAGTTGTCAACCACCCAGAAGACAAGCTTATTGTTATTATCATAGAACTTAGGCTGTTAAGCTTAACCTCACTATCTGTCTGCATATCACACATCTTAGGAATAATTTCATATATTTTTGGCTAATTAAGATTTGGTGGTATAGCGATAGCTCAGCTGGGAGGGATACTATTAATTAAGCATTTGAGATCCATGTTTTAGTAGGAATTTTGTTTGTGTGTCCTTAATCCAAGAAATTATTTTTATAGACTTTTTATACTATTGGATTTATTTTGTATGATTTAAAAATTTTTCAGTAAACAGGTCATACTTTTATGGGACAGACAATTTCTTGCTTGATTTATGTAGTGCTAGAGTAATTATGTGAACAATGAACATGAATACATGAATCAAATGGTTATTGTCAAAATAGAATTTTCATTCATTTCCAAGAAAAGCTATTGTTTTAAACTTAAAAATGCAGAAGAGCTCACTAGCTTTTAGGTTAATTGGTTGATTTAAGACAATTAGGGAAAATAATTACAGTGCTGTCTTATTCTGGTTCATGTATATTATCTACTTAAGTGATTGAATGCTAATTAAGAGTTGGTATTTGACTGAATACTTGGTAAAACTTTCTAATATAGTACATGAAATTATTAGTGTATTAGTTATAATTCCTTTCAATTTAATGAGAATTTGTATATAGGAAAAAAGCATATGAAATTAAGAAAATGCATCTTAGCTAATGAAGTTTTTTTCTTGCTTTTAGTTACAACTTAGAAAGCAGTATATGGAATGTAGGAACTCCGTCAAGAGGGCCTCTCCAAAGATATGGACATTCTCTTGCTTTATATCAGGTATGACTCCTACTTTTTAAATTTTCATCAGTTATTTAAAAAAAAGTTGCATTAAAGGGGAAGTTTCTTTTAAACACTTAAACTGTTTCTTTTAAAATCTGAGAAGGAATAATAAATTATTACGTGTCATAATAACTTGAGATATCATGAACTGTTTTATCCAGAGTGGATTTAGTGGGTTTTATTACAATTGCCTCTTAGATGTGTAAAGAAATAGAGATTAACTTTCTGTCAGTGGCTTTATACCTAGACATTAGTCACCTTTTTTACATTCTAATAATTGCATGTAACACAGAATTGACTATTTTAACTGTTTTTAAGTGTACAGTTCATTGGCGTTCACATTGTACAGCCATCACCATCATTATTTCCAAAACTAGTTTCAGCTTGCAAAACTGAAGCAGAATTCTTCATTTTTCTCTTCTTTATTCCCTGGAAATTATAAGTCTGCTTTCTGTCACTTTGAAATTTGACTATTTTAGAAACAGCATGTAAATGGAATCTTGCAGTGTGTATCTTTGTGACTAGTTTGTTTCCTTTAGTATATTGGTTTTATAATTCATCCTGAATGTAGCATATGTCAAGAATTCCCTTAAATACCCATCTCTGACAAAACTAAATAAAAAAAGAGGATACAAATGAAGGACCATTTTTGCATCTGTATATACAAAATAGTTAGAAGAGATATACAGCTACTTGCTCTTAATTCAATGAGAAGAAAGATTTACACTAATAGGGTTTGGACAGGATATCATGCCTGCATCTTGTACTATGAGTAACCACTATAAAGACAACAATATGCAACGTATTAATTATCATAACTGTCCTAATCGGTTTTGAAATTGTCTCATTGCTATTTGTTTCTCAATAAAATTAATAAAAATATAAAATAAAGATTCCCTTACTTTTTAAGACAGTAATATTTTGTTACATTTGTATACTATTTTTGCAAATCCATCCATTTGTTAAAGGATACTTATATTGCATCTGTTTTCAACCATTGTGAATAATGTTTCTATGATCGTGTATGTACAACTAGGTTTAATATTTTGAGGAACTTCCATACCATTTTCCACAGTGGCTGTTCTGTTTTATATCCCAGCTAGCAGCACACTTTGGTTCCAGTTTTTCCTTAGCTTTGTCAATATGAAATACTTTGTGCTTTTGTTTTTCAACATTAGGTCTAATATGCATGAAGTATCTCTTTGTCATTTTGATTTGAATTCATCTACTGATTAGTATTGCATAGTTTTAAGTACTTATTGGTCATTGATATATTTTCTTTGGAGAAATGGCTGCTTAAGCCTTTTGCTATTTTTAAGTTAGTTTATATTTTTGTTATGTTATGTTTTTTTTTATATATTAGCCCCCTTGCCAGCTATATAATTTAAAAATATTTTCTTCTATTTCTTTACTTTGAAAGTTTTTAAGGTTTTTTTAAAAAATGTATTTAGTACAGGGTCCACAGGGTCTTGCTACAGAGATTGTACTCCTAGAGATCCTCCTGTTTTCAGCTTCCCAAGCACTGGGATTACAGGCACATGCCACCATGCCCAGGAGGTGGATCTGGCATGGCTTGTGGTTCCAGGAATCAAACCCCTGTCCCTGTGTTCTGCCTAAGCAGGCACTTTAATCCACTGAGCTATCTGGCCAGCCTAAGTTTTTAGGTTTTTTGTTTTACTTTTTTATAACTTTTCTTGTGGTGCTGAGGATTGTGTATATTGAGGATATACTGTTTCACTGAACTACAGCCTATCCAGTTAATTTTTAGGTTGTCTGGTTCATCTGTTTTTCCTTTTGTTGACTGTACTTTGGTGTCATATATAAGAAATTAATTGCTAAATCAATCAGCATGAAACCTTTCCTCTTTTTTCTTAAAGAGTTTTAAGATTTTTGCTCCTATGTGTAAGTGTGTGGCAAAGGTCAGGGTGCAATTTGTTTTTCTGCATATCTGTAACCAATTTTCCTAGCATTATTTCTTGAAAAAAATTGTCCTTTTAAATTGAGTGTTCTTCGAATTCTGATAATAAAAACCATCTGACTGTTTATATAAAGGTTTATTTCTGGGTTCTCTGTTCTCTTGTGTTGATTTATACTTGTCTTTATGGAAGTACCAAACTGTTTTGATCACAATAGTTTTGTAGTAACTTTTGAAGTCAGAAAATATGAGACTTTCATCCTATATTTTGTTTTTTCAAGACTTTTTGGCTATTCAGGATCCCTTAATATTTCATACAAATTTTAGGACAGTTTTGCATTTTTGCAAAAAATATTGCACACACATATATCTATATATCAATATATATACATATATATGTATATATCAATTATCCTGGAGTCAGTTATTTTTATGTGTTATTGGATTCATGACTTCAGGATAATGAACATGGTAGCTCACTTCACTATCTTTTATTTTGAATCAGTGGATTCATGTGTTTTGTTGTCTGTGGTTAAGTCTCTCAAGTGAGAATTTGTGTATTTTCTGTGCATAAGCAAAAATTTTGGAAAATGACAAGTAGTATAAAGATCAAGCTACTATATATATATTTCTCTATGAGCAATTGGGAGATATCCATATGTATATTTCTCTTCTTTTAGTTTAATGTTTTAGTTTTTTTGTCTTGTTTTCTTTTTTGTAACAGCTTGAGATATAATTGATACATTATATAATACACTTTAAAAATTTTATACTATTCAATTGTTTTGGTATATTCATAGAGTTGTAGCTCTTGTAGACTTGTGTATGGTCTCATAAGAGTTGTATAGTCAATTTTTAAACATATTCATCATCTTAAAAAAAACAACTTGTAATGTCCAAAGCCCTTTTCAAATTCTTGTATTTTGACAAGAATTTGTTTTTCTTCATGTACAGTAGCTATCCTTTTAACTATCTTTCTAAACCTCTTCATGTTTCCAACTATAGGCAATTATAAATCCATTTTCTGTTTCTATAGATTTGTCTACTTTGGGCATATTATATGGATTATATCATATATTCTGTGACTGATGATTGACATATCTCACTTAGCTTAATATGTCCAAGGTCTGTGTTACAGAATTTATTTGTATTTCATTCTATCAATGAATAATATTCCTTTGCATGGATATACTACATTTTTCCCCCAAAATAGTTTTTTTATCATTAGGGGATGGGCATTTGGGTTCCTTTTATCTTCTAACTATTATGAATAGTGTTGCTATGGACATGTATATATGTTTTATGTATACCTGTTATATACATAGAATAGGAGTATAATTTGTGGATCAAATTTTAGCTTTTTATTTAATTTTTTGAACTATTTCAAAAGTGGCCGTATCATTCTACATTCCCATCACTCATGTATGAAGTTATCCATATCTATACATTCTTGCCAATTCTTGTTAATATCTGTCTTTTACATTAAATCTCCAGGTGGTGTAAAGTGGTATTTCATTAAAGATTTGATTTATATTTCCCTGTTAGTTAATGATATTCAGCCTCGTTTTTATGTGGCCATTTGTATTTTGCCTTTGGGGAAATGTTTAAGTTCTTTTGTTAAACTTTTATTTTAATATTAAATTGCTTTGTTTTTTATTACTGTCATAAGCAGTTTTTATATAATCTAGATTCAAGTCCCTGAATAAATAATAAGCTTTACAAATTTTTTTTCTCATTCTTTGGGTTATTTTTGCATTCTTGATCATGTTTTGAGGTACAGAGTGTTTTGTTTTGATGAAATACAATTTATCTTTTTTGTTGCTTCTAGTTTTATTGTATCTAATGATCCATTCCCATGTCCCAGGTTGCAAAAATGTATCTTTTTCTTTTTTTTGAGAGTTTTGTGGCCTTGACTCTTACATTTAATATTTTTGTGTATTTTGAATTAAATTTGTTTATGAAGTGTAGTAAGGGTTAGTCTCATTTTTTGGGGTGCAGCTATTGAGTTTTTCCAGTACCATTTATTGAAGAGTTAGTTCTTTGCTGCATTCATGTTCTTGGAACTCCTGTCAAAAATAGCCATAGATGTATTGATTTATTTCTGGAGCATTATTTTTGTTCAGTTGATTTGTGCTTATACTACATTATCTTGCTTACTCTTTCATTGTGGTAGTTTTCATGAAGTGTGAGTGTACTAGCTTTATTCTTTTACAGGATTGTCTTTTTCTTGTTTTGGTTTGAGACAGGGCTTCACTATGTGCACCAGGCTAGCCTTGAGCTCACTATGTAGTCAAGGCTGGCCTTGGACTTACTAGATAGCCCAAGATTGCCTTAAACTCATAGCAATCCTTCCGTCTCAGCTTCCCAAGTGCTAGGATTACAGGCCTGTGCCACTATGCCTGGCTGTAGGATTGTCTTGATGTCCATCTCTTAAAATTCCACATATATTTTAGAATCAGTTTGTCAGTTTCTACAAAAAAGGCAACTGGGTCTCTGTTTGTGGTGGTGTTGAGTCCGTTGGAAATTATTAGCATCATTGATATTCTTTTGACCCTTAAGCATGGACTTTTTTCTCCACTTATCATGTTTTATTGTTCTAACAATCTCAGATTATAGCCATGCTTTTATTTTATCTTATACACACACTCCATTTATAAATAATTGCCGTTAATCTTCAAAATATCAGATTTATGCCAATATGCATGATCATTTCACATTAAGTTTTTGAATTATGTAACAGGTGTTTTTTGTGGTACCTGGGATCAAACATGGGACCTTGAGCTTGTCAGACAGGCGCTAATGCCACTAAACTATATCCCTGGCACTATGTAACAAGTTTTTAAAAAGTACTTCTAACATATGAAGCATATTCTTTTAATTTTCAATTTATTTGTATCAGAAAACAAATATATAGTATTTTGTTCACTAAAAACATGGACTGTCCTTTCCATTTATTTAGATCTTTTAAAATTTCTATAAACCAATGTTTTATAATTTTTACAATCTTGAACTTCCTTTGTTAACTTTATTATTATTTTTTCTTTTGGATACTGTTATTAATAGAATTATTTTCCTAATTTTAATTTTGGATTGTTTATTGCAAATGTATATAAAATATAATTTTTTGTATTGATCCTGTAATATAGTACCTTTTTATTTCTTAGAATACTGTACATTTATTCATGTTATCTGCAAATCTGAATTTTGTTTCTTCCATTCCAGGTTCAGTCTGGTTGCTTTTGTTAGTTTCTGCCCATTTTCTTTTCTTTTTTTAAAAATGTATTTAATAAAGGGTCTACAGGGTCTCAGTACACAGATCAGACTTATAGTGATCCTCCTGTTTTCAGCCTCCCAAGCACTGGGATTACAGGTGCACGCCATCATGTGCAGTCTCAATCACTGTCTCTGTGTGCCCTGGGGTGGGGCCGGCAAAGCACACTGGGACAGAACCCAGGTCCCTGCGTCTGCCTAAGCTATCTGGCTAGTCCTTCTGCCTATTTTCCATAGCTAGAACTTCTGGTATGGTGTCAATATGAGTGGGCAAAAGTAGGCATTCTTAGGTTATTTCTAATGTTAGGGAAAAGCATCCAGTATTTCACCTGTACATATAATTTTAGATGTATGCTTTATGCAATTGAATAGGTTCCCATGTATTTTATTCTTAGCTCATTGAAATAGTAATAATTTATAAAAATAATTTATATCATTTATTTCAGTCCTGTGACTGATATTATTTGTTTAATTTATAAGTGCTTTAAAGATTTAGTAAACATACACTGAAATTATGAAATATTTTCCCATAGCCATGTAATAATAATATGCCCTTGGCAAAAAACCAAAAAAATATGCCATTGGCACAAAAATAGATGTGTTTCAGTGGAACAGAAGATTTAGGAAAAAACTCAAGATGCAAATCTTTGATCTTTGACAAAGGGGCCAAAAACATATACTGAAGGAAAAACAGCATCTTTAGCAAATGGTGTTGGGAAAACTGACTGTCCACAGGCTGAAGTTCCAAGCTAGTCCCATATCTCTCAGAGTGTATAAAGTTAAACTCAAACTGGATCAAAGATTTAAATATTAAAACAGAAACACAACCCACTGGAAGATAAAATACGCATGACTCTTGAAGTCATAGATGTAGACAAGAACTCTCTTAATGCTACTCCATTTGCAAAAGAAGTAACAATGAGAGCCAACAAATAGTATTATGTTAAATTAAAAAGCTTCTGTACAGCAAAAGAAACATCTAGCAGAGTGAAGAGGCAACTTATAGACTGGAAAAATATTTTTATCAGCTACACTTTGGTTAGAGGACTAATATTTAATATATATAAAGAACTGAAGAAAATTAGATCCCTTAAAGTAAAGGATCCAATCAAAAAATGGGCAACTGAAGTGAATACATAATTCTTAGAGGAACAAATACAAATGGTCAGTATATATGTGAAAAACTGCTCAACTTTGCTGGCCATTAGGAAAATGAAATTAAGACAGCACTGAGATTTCATCTTACTTTGGAAAGAATGGCCATCATCAAGAACTCAAATAATAAAAATTGCTGGCAACACTGTGGTGAGAAAGGAGTACTTTTATATTACTGGTGGGAATGTACAGCCATTATGGAAATCAATGTAGAGATTTCACAAAAAACTAAAAATAATTGTATTTAACCCAACTATTCCCCTTCTAGGTATCTTCCTGAAAAAGTTAAATATATCATATTGTAGTGATAAATGTATACCAATGTTGATATTGGCACAATTTATAATACCTAAGTGTAGAAAGTAGCCTATATTTCTGTCCACCAACAAATGGCAGGAAACCATGGCATCTATACATAGTGGAATACTACTCAGTTATAAAAGAATGATAAATCTGAGATGTTTGTAGGCAAATGGCTGCACCTTGAAAATAACATTAAGTGAAATAAATCAGACATACAAACTTAGGTATTGTATGGTTTCTCTCATATGAGCAACCCAAAGTACAAGTAAAAGGGAAAATAAAGGATTGATAGAAGGAAAGTAGAGAGATAGACCTTTTGCAAATGTGTAACGGACTAAGAATCTGAAGAGAAAATGGGGAGAGGAAAGGGGACATAAAAGTATTTAAAATATTTCATATAAATATACCATTTGCCCACAATAAATATAACCATTTTATATTGCAAACATGCGCTAAAAAATGTAAAGGAAGGGTGGGAATCTATAGCCAGAGGAAAGAGAATGGGGAGGGAAAGGAAATAAAAAGAATTAAGGTATACTAAGTCCATGTACCTACTTACTAAGATGAATGTAAGCATCATGTACTTCAAACATGTACTAATAAAAAAAGAATATTCCACATGATGCACAAATATGGTCTGCCTGTTTGATGAATGATTAACAGTAGTACAAAACAAGGCAAATAGATGTTAAACTTCAAATATAATGACTTGGGGGCCTGATCATTCAAATATTGAAGACTAAGAGTACTGTTAATTGCAACTTTGTTACTTTCCTATTGTGTCAAAGAAGTAAATTATTCTTACTTGTAGAACTACCATAGCCTTAAGTTTTTAAATTTCTAACTAGCTTATTGCATTTTTCATTTTCATATTATTTTAAAGGTATCTTTATAGAATAATTAAAAATGTGCTTAGTTAATATACTTTAAATATTTAAAATATCTTGATGTAACTTTTTGAAAGTATAATGTGCTCCTGTGCATAAAACATTAATTTTTTTGTATTTTCCATTTGAGTTTTCACAGATAAGAGCTATACATTGTGGACATTGTATGCATTTAATAAAATATACTGTTAAAATATGTCCTTTACTTTAAATTAATATGAATTGCTAAGAAATAACTTTAATTAATATATGTTTAATTTACAGGAAAACATCTTTATGTATGGAGGCAGAATTGAAACAAATCATGGCAATGTTACAGATGAATTATGGGTTTTTAACATACGTAGTCAATTATGGAGTACAAAGACTCCTACTGTTCTTGGACATGGTCAGCAGTATGCTGTGGAAGGACATTCAGCACATATTATGGAGTTGGATAGTAGGGATGTTGTTATGATCATAATATTTGGATATTCTGCAATATATGGTTATACAAGCAGCATACAGGAATACCACATATGTGAGTTTCTTTAAATTATTTTCCTCATTGGTAGAGAATGTTTTTATTTTTAATAAAATCTTATGAATTTAGTCCAAATGCTGAATTATTTGAGATTGAAATTATACTGATTTTAATGTAAGCTTTTAGATTTTATTAGATTTTTGTTCCTTAATAAAGTTTATTCTCTTGAGCAAATGAGAATATTACATACTATTCTCATTTTCCCAAAATTTGAAAATATTTTTAAGTATGAGAAATTTCAGTAGATGGTGCTATTTCATTGGGTTTTACTTATGAATCAAGAGCTGTAACATAATCTTTTTAATATATATTCCATGATTTCAAGATTTTTCATTTTCACATTCTATTTCTAATCTTATTGCTATAACTTTGCTTATATATTACTCTTTAAAGTAGGCTTACCAAGAATAGTCTTTTGACCTCTAAAAGAGATTATTACCTGGTGTGTGAAGGTAACTAGGACATTCTACATAATTTCTGTACTATATTCTTATATTTTTGGCTTTTTTATGGCAATTTATTTCTTGCTTTCTTTATGACATTTTCAAACAGTGGCAACCTTTTTTCTTTGCCTACAAATATGTGCCTTATGATTGCTATTTAGAGTCAAGAAAATATTCCATTTATGGCTCTACTAGTGTTCTAAACTCAAGTTTTTTGCTTTTTTGTGTTCAGCTATATACAGAGGCCTTGCACAGTCTTGGAGAGAAACTTAATTTCTGATTACTGTTAGTTACAATAGAAGATTATATGTGAGATCAGAGAAAGACTTGCTCACTGTTGCCGGCAGTCCTTTGAAGGGGTGACTGTTTTCATTTTCACCTCCTTGACAGAGCTGAGTTGAAAGTGGGTGGGGCATGTCTCTTTTTACTCTTTATTGCCCTTTCCCCTCTATGCTTACCTCCCTTCCTGTGCAAAGCTTCATCTCAATTTAAATCTTAATGTTGTCAGTCCCTACCTCTTACAATCTTACCTTCTTGTGACCATCTTTTGCTTTTCATTTTGCAATTTTATTTTTTGAAGAATTTAGCTTCTAGTGTTTATCAGTGGACTATTTTTATGACTTAAATATCCACATAAATGCTTCTTCTAATACCTGTTCTCTTAATTTCTTGATTTCTCTACCAAAGACCTTGCTTTCCATGATTTACTCTTTCTCATCACTATACTGTTGAGCTTATCATTCTAATACTAATACTAAGTTTTAATGTTTATTTCACATACAGTATTGTATTCAAGTCCACTGACATTTTCAGCTTACTCATATTAATACTCATAGTATGACAGTTCTTTGACTTTTCCAATGTTGCTAGCCATTGAGCCTCTTAATACTTCCCACTGTCTTTTGCACATGCTTCTTTCCCAGATTGAAGTTCTTAATCCACAATCTCAGATTGACTCTTTTTTCTTTTCTTTTTGCAGACCTGGGGATTGAACTCAGACCCTTGCACTTGCCAGGCAAGTGCTTAATCTACTGAGCTATATACCCGGCCTGCAGATTGACTCTTAATGATATCTGAAATCCCTGGAAGTTTAGTCTCTCTTCTATTGTTACCTAAATATTTTATAATTTTTTCTCAGATTTTCAATACTTCTCGACCATCACTTCAAGCTCACATTTTTTTATTTTTTAAAGTGAATAAAAATAGTAAAAAAAGAACACTAGAAAGAATGTAGAATTTTACTAAACAAAATGATAGGAATTCAACAATGATAGTTATATTGCATATTGTTGTCTTCAGATTAGTTGTTCATATTACCAGATATAAGCATGAAAAATTGGTCAAAAATTATAAAAAAATTAAAAAGGAGAGAGAGAAAAAATTAAGCAGTAATTGCTTAGCTGATAATCTTGTTTACTGAGAAAGTAGAAGTAATCAAAAGAGAATTTGAGGGGCCAGGGAGATGGCTCAGTGGAATAAGTGCTTCCCTGGGAAGTGCAAAGGCCTGAGTTTAATGCCTGGTTCC